TTAAAATTTTGTTTCATCTGGCATAACATAAGTGTGTGTTTGCCAATATTTCAATATTAAAAGATTTATTTATTTTTTAAAATATTTCACAGAGGTCAGTTAAAAAGTTTACACAAGAGATTGTATAATAATTGTTAAGTGGCAATAAATAATTGTTAATCTGTTACTACTATTTAGCCAGTAACCATATCCTAAAATGATAAATTTCGTATTTTTTTTATGGGGCTTAAAAAACCATTGTTGTATAAATGATATGTAATCTATAATGCTGATTTAAAAATAATACTAGCTACTTTAACGAAATGTTTCAAGATGTCAGGGGATTGTGTGCGGGGTGACCGAACGGACAAACCTGTGTGCACAGCAACACCGTTGCCCGGCAATGGATGAGACAATAGATTTAAAATTGGCACGAGTTCGCATCCCGGTGCGGGGGGAGTCTTTTAAATCCCCGTCCACACCCCCCTGGCCTGGGGAAAACCCCGCATAGCCTTAAAGGCGAGGAACGGGAGGATCCAAAAAAAAATCTAGTTGAAAATACTGTAATCCCCGGACATCTTTTTTTATTTTTTATTAATGTAATTTTAAAGTATTTTCAACTAGGTTCAATACAGCTTTTTCACTATTTCTGTTGGTTAAATAATTACTTATATTTTGAGGTCCAACATTCATCGCTTCAGAATAAAATCTATATATCTGATAGATTTTATTGTGTAAACGGAATTTGACAAATTCGATAATAATGTACTTTGTCACATTGAATCACACGGCGAAGAAGTAGTAGAATTATTATTTTTTTCTAAACTTATCTAATTTTAAATCCTGGACTAGTCTAATTACAAGAAAAAAGTAGAAATTAATAAATCATATAATCTCAACACTGTTCTGAATTGAATTACGTTAAAAAACTATTGAAGAATAGACGCAATCACACTAATAGTGTTGTAAAAACAAGCCTCGAGCTCTGACTCGAGTTTCGACTCGAACCTCCATGGCTCGAGTTGAAGCCTCTTAGAGTTATAGAGTGAATATATTATTCTTTTGTTGCTATTAACAATGTGAATATATTTTTGAAATATAGGATTAATAAATATATAGGAATAAATAAGTTAAGTTCCAGCCGCGATTGGAGCCTTTTACTACGAGTACGTGGGTGATACTTCGTTTTAAATTTTTTTTTTTTTTTGCGTTGGGTTTATTCCCCCTCCGATTTTTTAAAAGACGAAATGATAATTTGTTTGGGTTGGTGGGTGATACTTTGTTTAACTTTTTTGGAGATTAACCCTAAAAGGGAGTAAAAGTTTCATACTGAGGGACAAGGAGGAAACATGGAACAGATAGCAGCAAATGTAATTGTGTATCATCCATGATTTTTCTAATTGTACTTTCCCTTTCTCTGTTTTTAAGAAAAGTGAGCAATAAAATATCTTGGAAGTGAGGGAAGAGTTAGGTTCTTGCGCCATTGACTTTGGGAGAGATGGTCACATCCGCCTGTTCTGAACAATATTCATATATAGATGGTGAAGAATTGTAGAGAACTTTTACTAAAATAAATCTACAACTCGATGTTGGAGATATAAATACAATGCAGAGCAGATACCTAAAGATTGTACTGATGCAATCGTACTTGCTATTTTTAAATACTGATTGAAAGCGGAGTGCGAGAATTAAACAAGTATATCTTCAACAAGTAGAAGTACGATATCTAAAGTGGTACTGCAGTTAGTGTCAATTAAAAGTTAACTTCTGGCCCGAAAAGATGTTAGAGAAACAAAGCAAACGTTGGAAAAAACATTCACCAACAGAGTACCAAATTATATGACTACTATATGTAAATTATTAGTATTATAAATCGGAAAGTGTTAATGAAGAAAAACAAGTCACTTTGAATGAACCTAAACCAAATCAAAAATGAATCTGAACGGTCATATACCCACGGTGAAGGTGAATAGTCCCTGTTCTCGGAGTGCTTCGAGGGAAGATTGAACCATTGTCTTCTACTCTATAATTGCTTTGCAATGAGGGCAACTCGGCAATATCCTGGTGGCACAGTGATCAAGGGACACATGTGAGTTTATATTAAGAAATGGGAAAATACATTTCATTTACAACGGGTTAATTAGTAAATTATTAGTAAATTTAAATACAATATTTAAATACAAATTATTAGTAATATTGATAATGAAATATTGCATTACATAAAAGAAAACGAAAGCTATTTATGAAAAACAACAAAACAACTAGCCCAAATTTTGATGTGAGGTAAATGAACAATAAAGTTACTTTGATTATAGAAAATTGATCCGTATCAATAAAACATTGATAAGGACTGCTTAATTTTTTTAAATTTATTATAATTGTATTATCGCTTCAATCACCATTACAAACACCGCTACTATTACAACTAATGTTGCTCTCTATTTTATTTTGTTTAAGGAGAAACTGAAGCATGATGTTGAGGAGAAAGTGAATCAGTTGAAGAATGCCGCGGAACGTATAAAACTTCCAGATAATATTAAAAAGGATCTTATCATGGTGCTGAAGAGACTCCTTTGTAGGTTAACCATCAAAACGCTGGAACCGGAAGATATCATAAGCGATATATGCTTACTCGAAGAAGCGATAAAACAGAACAAGGAAGATGAAATACAGAAGGCGACAACCAATTTGGTTGAAAGATTTAACAGGTCCAGCAGCTGCTGCATCCTAGGTGACCACTGTGTCAGGAGTAGCCGGGAAGAAAGAAAATCAGACGTAAGCTAACCGATGTGAATTTGTTTTTAAAGTTGATCAATAAATTCACAGGTTCTGCCTGTTGTTTTTTTTTGTTTATCAATTTATAATAGTTTCTACCATTATGTTAATGTTAAAACTAAGCGCAATAAGGAAGAGAAATCCTCAACTGTGTAGCTTTAGAACTGGAAAAATAGTTTATAGTTTATAAACATTTAGCTAATCTTTCTAAATGTTAATATGGAAACCATAAAATGTTAAATGTTTAGTAAGCGGACGGAATCGCATAATTCAAGTGAAAACGTTGACGAGGTATAGTACAAGCATTTCCTTTATTTTTATAAAGAAATAAATATTCGGAAGAACCGTGTAGATAAATTATTTGAGCAAGGTGAAGGAAGCTTAAGTTTACTATAAAGACTAGCAGAAATAAAATGGAGTGCACAAAAAGAATTAATGGTCCTGTCGTACGTAAGAGGACGGATGGAGCATGGAAGTGAGATTTTGTTGACTGCCTCAGAAAACTCACTACATGCCTTGGACTTCGAGGTTGGTTACATGTTTGTGAAATATACACTAGTTGCAACTCTCCAAATATGAACGGGTATAAAACCAATTCAAACAATATGAAAAGTGGCGGCTGCTAGTCTCATAGAGAGAATACAGGGATTAAAATATTGAAATATTCAAGAAATATCTGTCCAGTCCCTGAAGATGCAAAAACCTCTAACAGTCAAAGTTAAAGAAATGTTAGAAGAAAAAGGCCTATATCTCAGTTTGGAATCAATTGAAATGTCATTCGGATTCCTTTTTTCAATTGATCGTCAATGCGATTTCTAGCAGCTGACACACCAGACTCACGCCTACCATTTAATAGGAGTACAGAACACCCCTGTTGTCGCAGAGGCACGACTAGACCTAAAGCAACCTATTACTAAGCACATATTACCTGAATGAGTATTAATAGTGCTTACCGTACGCCAGCACATATATACGTAACCCAACCACCCCTATTCTGTATTTTTTATTGGCTTACAAGCTCTAAGAATCGCAGTGAAAATGGGTTGGATCATCCTGGTGTCTCAGATGCTAGGAATCGCATTGAGGATCTATAAAAAAAAGGAACTCGTGTGTGAGAAAATTTAATGGAGGTGCCGGATATATAAAATAAAGGCAGCAAAGTCTCGGTGGCGTGTTTCTGCATAACGACTTGATGTGATAATATTCAAAGGCATGTGCTCAGGACCCGAACCGAGGAAAGCCCTGTTTGTCCTCGCCGCCAGTAGGATCTGATGTAGCTGCAGGATTTGCACCAATCAATATCCTCCGCTCTGTCTGACGTTCTCAGTAATGACCTTGCTAATGTGACCAAACAGCTGTTAGAAATGGATTAAATTGTGGAGTGCAATAATTATAGAGGGCAATAGTTGTCGTGTAAAATGTAAGTTATTTATAGTTTACATTAGCTTTTATTTTTTCCCTCTCCTTCCTCGCTTTTTCGGCTATACGAAGTTTTTCCCGGGCCAGAGGTGAGGAGGGAAAACTAGTGCTGGAGTTAAAAATCCCTCCATCCCGCCGAGATTTGAACTAGTAATCTTTGGTTTATACAGTTGTCGGGCAGTCTTCGGTTCATCACATCCTAGTCCGTGGTACAGGCCCCTTTTTTAACAAATTATTAAGGTCCGGCTGAAACTTCGTAAATAGCTTCATCTTATCGTAATCTAAAAATATTACATTTACAAAGATTCGCTTAATCGGGGCGTTTTCAAACTGGATGTCTTCAAACTTTGTCTATTTACTACTACTAATGTACTAAAAAGCTATTATCTTTGCACTTTAATCGTGAGATAACTTGAGCACAAAGTAGAGAAAAAAGATGGCCTACAAAAACATGGAACCTTGTGGCGTGATCTACACCCCCAAATAGTTAAAATAAAGAGTTTATGTAGGCCAAACGACTCAACATTTTTTAAGGCTACCTTTTTTCTTGACTTTGCACTCAAGTTATCTTATGATTCAAGTGGATGAGAAAGTATCAAAGGAAGTAGCTGATAGAAGAAGTCATCAAGCACTGTTTCAGACAATAAAAGGGGAAATTACAGTTCAAGTTTCACAACATGGAATATTCACATGGAGTGTTGAAGGCTGTATATTAGAGATGATAATAAGTTCATTCATGAAATCATATTAAAATGTTTTGCAGCAGTGTTGTCAGTCTGGTTATTTAATCCATACCTCGTTTATGTGCAAGCCATAGGGCAATAAAACAAAGAAAGAGTTATAATTATTTCACGTTACTTTAATTTTGCTCACACATGTTATTAACCTGCACATAATATTATATTTTTTTTCTTATAAAATGACTTAAAATTTTACTCGCAGATCTTATCACGATGTCCTACAACAATATATTCAAAACTAAATATACTACATCCGAACTATCTCCAGAACCTGTTTCGCCATTAGAAGATCTTATGGCGTTTCTAAAATTTTACCTTGGTCCCAATGAAGCAAAGCCATTCGAGACCAGGGCCAATTACCACATCCTCCACCCGGATGAGAGCGCTAAGCGTTACATAGACGATGTGCTGATGGCCATCGACGATAAGATGAGACTGGACCGGCAGGAATTAAAGCCAGCCACCGAGAAGTCAATTAAAATTTATTATAAGGATATGAGGAAAAGTCAAGACTGTAAAAGAGTTGGTAATTTATGCGGTAATAATCTCATCCAATGAAAACAGAGCACTTCTTCGTACATTAATAATGATTCATAGTTATTAATGCCTTTAAACAGTATTACAGCTGCCAAAATCAATCACCCCATTATCTTCCCTCTTCGTCTTCTTATGAAAAAAAAAAACCGATTCTCAACTTGTAATTACTTTATCTGCGAATTTAATCAGCAATTTATGGTAAACCTTTGTGAAGTGCTAGATTTTCTTTGGTCCCTAGATTTTAGGCTAAAGCTTCTACATACAGAATGCGATACGATATTTCTGTCGACGCCGATATGGCGATATATTTGTATTACTATCAACATTACAGGAGTGGGATCATCCACAGTGATACAGATAAAGGAATATGGTAACCCCGACACATACCACGTTCTGTGTGCAGAAGCACCTTAACTGTTTATGTTATGTTAAACCATTTTATTTTTCGTTTACCTCTTACCTCGCCATTTCTGGTAAACGGGGTTAAGGAGTTATAGTAGAGGTACAACCGAACCTATTCTAACAAGAGTGGAAAGATCTCATTCCATATTAACACTTTTTAAAAAAATTTAGTCCGCCCAGGCCGTATTCGGTTCGGTGCTGCTAGACTCGAGAATGTAAAACCGGACAATATCAATACGCTCAGTCATCATGTTCTATAGAAGCATAGTTATCGTGTTCACGCTTGAGGATCCTACACAGAGAACGTGATATTTATGCGATATATACGATATCCCTTTTTCGGTATCGCTGCGGATTATTGCGCTCTGGGTGACTGCTATAATGCAATACATGTTAATACAATTACAGAGCCATACCACAGCCGACAGGAATATCGTATCGCCGGGAGATATCATACTTAGTGTGTAGAATCCTTTAAACCTTATTTAACTACTAATGAAATATATAAATAATATGTCAACAGAGTACTCTTTTAATCCAACGGCTACATTTGTTATTTCAGTTGAATCGTGATCTCAATAACATCTTCCATCCAACATTACGGCATTGCAAAAAGTTCTGGGCATTGCCTCGCAATTATGCAAGTCTCCTTAGCATATAATAGATCTATACTATCCAAGGCTGTTTTCCTCAGCCATATAATGGCTGACTAGACATATAGGTTCGGTCTAATTGTACCTCACAAAGTCTTCTAATGTAATAATATCCCTTTGAATTTGCATTTATGAGGTCTAAATTCTTACAAGATTCTTCTATACTGAAATTCGTGATTCCTTGAAGTACATAGTATTGGGAAAAAGCATTGATTTAAGGTACTGATTAAATTGACTCTGATAAATGCAAGAATCGCCGGGTAGAAATATCGTGCTAGGAAGGCAAAATAATCAGAATATTATTGAACATTGAGTCAGCTACATCCGTGTAAAATTAGAACTTGATATTATATTGTCTATTGTGGACGGCAGAATAAAATTTTTGGGAGTTTTTTTATTCCTATTACCGTTTGGATAATTCTAAAAATGAATACGACTGGATTGTAATTGTAATTTGTAAGTAATTGTAATTGTAAGGCTTGGGAAGTTAAATCGAATGACACCTTGAACAGGAAGATCGGACAAAGTTGAAAAATTAGTTTGTTTTACCCGTGTTTTAAGTGACAAAGCGTTACAGATGTTCGAGATTTCGGATTTTTCCCGTTGGGTTGTGAATAGTACACCAGTTGAATAGTACAACTTTTAAATGTGGCTCGCGGTAGAGTAGGTTGGGATGAGAATCGAATTAAGTAACTGCCTAACCGGGATCTCCAGACAAATTACTCAAGAATTCATAACTTTGGTTCTACTCTATATTTTGCTTTAATTTAAAGCCTATGGTTTAAGTCAAGCAAACCTAAATACAATGTCAAAATTTCAAAAGTCTACCATTTGCTATTGCTGAGCTTATCCCCGACACAATTTTGTTGGACATTGTGGACAGGCAACAAAAATTTTTTTATATTGGATTTGGTTTCTGTAATGTATGCAACGGAAAGGTACCCTGGAACGGGTTGATTATATTCAATGTACAGACAAAACCTTTATTTTATTTATATAGATTATATAGCAAATAGAGATGGTGACGATGCTACGCAGTCTCTATTTCGCCGACGGTTTTTTTTTTTTTTTTATATATACTGAATAATCCGTAATTTGTCAAGCGTTTAGAACTCAAATTACCTCTTACTAAAATATTGTTTTGTTTTTTTTAATACGTACAAGTGCTTTATTTAGGTGTAAATTACAGATGTTTTTTAAACATAAATTAATTGCTTATTTTATAATTTTCGGTTAAAAAGCCAGCTCCAGTCACTCTTGTGGTTCCGAAAGAACTAACGCTGCAGTGCAATTGATAGAAGGACTTCAACCGATAATACCAGAAGCGAAAAGGACCAACTATAGGTCTCTTGCCAGTCATGTCTCGAATGAAGACTTGGAGGATTTCCTGATTGAATTAGACGAAGACTTGCAAGATTTAATGGATGAAATGCAGAAAGAGATAACTCGTCGCTTAAAAGCTAAGTTAGATGCTTTCTTAACTGACCTAATAGAGCGGAGTAAACAGCTGAGGATGGTAACTAAACAAAAAATAATGAACAATTTTTTGTTTATTTCATTTATATTTCTTATATACAAACCTACTCTAAACATTCGAATTACTAAATACAAACATCGGATATTGGCATCTGAATTTTAGACTTAACTCTTTAACTATTGACCAAATAATTTCCTAACTACAAGTATGAGGGAAAATATAAGAACATAACAATGAACTCCAAAGGAAGCTGCGTTATATTCTAACTATCTAGACATACACTTGTGGAGTTTTAAATCTCAGCCTACTGGGCCTATCCTCGTGTTTTTCAGAACATCAGATCGGCGGATTCCTCGTCCGTTATTGCCTCCTAATGCGCAGTACAGTTTTACATGGATTCCTGATTTCAGGATTTAAGTGCATGCGCGTAAGTAACGTGAAACCTGGGCAAACGTGCCACGATATCGGTGTATTCGTGGATACGTCAATATCATCTCAATATAAACTTCGTCGAATTAGAAGAAATCATTTTCATTACTCAGTCTCATCAGTCCATATTTGGCTAAATAGTGCCGGCTTGTTTTGAGAAAGGACCTTTTAGCACGTGGGTAGATTTCGCGTTTATGATAAATAACAGTGGAGCAAGTCTTGCTCCCTAAGGTTGGTTTAACGGTTTAAAGTTCTGTATCTTAGCAGAAAGAGAAAAATCTGTCTCAAAGAAAAGATTGAAGAATGAGGTAATAGGTAGGAAAGAGCATTGTTTTAAATTTCAAGAGAAGGCCCGACAGATTCAATTGAACGCTTCAGCGACATCCAGAAGTACTTCTCTTACATACAATTTATGGTTTATTAAATCATTCAAACACTAGCTTACTACAAATTTATTTCACGATTTCATTCAGTTGGAAACCTCATTTTACAAATTGTCAATTATAGAGCTATATACCACAGTTTTTGACAAAACTTTCTTTTGTTGGCCTAGGGTTTCAAACATACCGCTCAACCTAACTATTAAGTTGTGGTACTAATTTGACAAAAATATTTGTAGATTATTATTGAATTTGGTCTCCTCTCCTTATTTTTATTTATTTATTGAATAATATAACATTCTGTTCCGTAGACAATGGTTATAGTGAGGTAAGATCTCATTCCTCTCTCTCTCTCTCTCTATATATATATATATATAAGATCTTTTATATATATATATATATATATATATATATATATATATATATATATATATATATATATATATATATATATAGAGAGAGAGAGAGAGAGAGAGAGAGAGGAATGAGATCTTACCTCACTATAACCATTGTCTACGGAACAGAATGTTATATTATTCAATAAATAAATAAAAATATTATTTTATCTCCTTATTTTTATCTCCTTATTTTTATTTATTTATTGAATAATATAACATTCTGTTCCGTAGACAATGGTTATAGTGAGGTAAGATCTCATTCCTCTCTCTCTCTCTCTCTCTCTCTCTATATATATATATATATATATATATATATATATATCTTATATATATATATATATATATATATATATATATATATATATATATATAGAGAGAGAGAGAGAGAGAGAGAGAGGAATGAGATCTTACCTCACTATAACCATTGTCTACGGAACAGAATGTTATATTATTCAATAAATAAATAAAAATAAGGAGATAAAATAATATTTTTATTTATTTATTGAATAATATAACATTCTGTTCCGTAGACAATGGTTATAGTGAGGTAAGATCTCATTCCTCTCTCTCTCTCTCTCTCTCTCTCTATATATATATATATATATATATATATATATATATAAGATATATATATATATATATATATATATATTATATATATATATATATATATATATATATATAGAGAGAGAGAGAGAGAGAGAGAGAGAGAGAGAGAGAGGAATGAGATCTTACCTCACTATAACCATTGTCTACGGAACAGAATGTTATATTATTCAATAAATAAATAAAAATAAGGAGATAAAATAATATTTTTATTTATTTATTGAATAATATAACATTCTGTTCCGTAGACAATGGTTATAGTGAGGTAAGATCTCATTCCTCTCTCTCTCTCTCTCTCTCTCTCTCTCTATATATATATATATATATATATATATATATATATATATATATATATATATATAAGATATATATATATATATATATATATATATATATATATATATATATATATATATATATAGAGAGAGAGAGAGAGAGAGAGAGAGGAATGAGATCTTACCTCACTATAACCATTGTCTACGGAACAGAATGTTATATTATTCAATAAATATATAAAAATAAGGAGAGGAGACCAAATTCAATAATAATCTACAAATATTTTTGTCAAATTAGTACCACAACTTAATAGTTAGGTTGAGCGGTATGTTTGAAACCCTAGGCCAACAAAAGAAAGTTTTGTCAAAAACTGTGGTATATAGACTAGTAGAGGGATCTCCTAGAGTTCTCCTTTCCCCCTCCCATAATTTGAGGGACAAGCCTGCCTCGGAGTTTCCTCACCTGATGGTAAATATTGTATATAGGTAAGTCCGTTTTTGTTTTTTATTTTTAAAAATTTATTTGACTTCAATTTAATTTATTTTTATTTGTTTTATATTATTAATTAGTTTTTTTTTGCTTCTGTTTATTTTATGTTGTATATATATATATATATATATATATATATATATATAGACAACATAAAATATATATATATATATATATATAGACAACATAAAATAAACAGAAGCAAAAAAAAACTAATTAATAATATAAAACAAATAAAAATAAATTAAATTGAAGTCAAATAAATTTTTAAAAATAAAAAACAAAAACGGACTTACCTATATACAATATTTACCATCAGGTGAGGAAACTCCGAGGCAGGCTTGTCCCTCAAATTATGGGAGGGGGAAAGGAGAACTCTAGGAGATCCCTCTACTAGTCTCTCAACTGCATCACTGTTACTACAGCCTGTGGGGATTGATCGAGTGCGTTTTAGCTACATACAATCATGTCTTGGGTGGAAAATCAGATTATTACCAGAATTCCAATATATAGTACAAAAGGTCGAAGGGTCACTGCTATTTTAACCTTCTTGGAGGATTATAGGTTTAAGTGATGCTTGATAGGGTTTGTGCAAGGAGATTTGGATGATATCTAAGCTTCTGGGAAAATTTGGAGAATTTATCTTTAATTTCAAGGACAAATGAAATTTTAAGGTCGTGGTGTTGCGTTTAATTGGTCACATAAAACGGAAAATCGACCATTGCTCGAAGGACTGTGAACTGAAAGGATTGGATTCGTTTGATGTTGGGAAATGTGCTTTTTTCCTTTAATGTTAGAAAATGTTTTTCTACAGTTCTAGTCCGTTGATCCAAATGGGTTTTAGGATGATCTTGTTTCAGTAATTTGTTGTCAATTGAAAGTTGAGATTTTCTAGTCAGTGATCTGTATAGTATCGTCGGTCAAGTTTTTGTCTTTTGAGTTCAGTATGTGGGTTCGACGTTAGCCTTCTGTAAAAAAAATAGTTTTTAGATGGTTATAAAATATTGGCGGAATAGATGTAGATAGGAGTGTGTAAGTGAAATGCTTTTGCATTTTGATTCATTTACTTTAATACTCCAATTATTACTCAAATTTTTAATTAGATAGAGATGCCTTTATTATATTTTGTCCGCCTAAATGATAAAATAATAGAACTATCCACCTGTGCTTGAGATATCTAGGAGCACACTTACAGAAAATGGACTTACAGATACGGAGATCAGAGGAAGAATAGTTTCAGCTGGAAAGTTTTTCAACGAGGTTAAAAGGGGCTTCATTAACAGGAGAGAAGTTTCAACAGAAACAAAGGTGGCAATATACAAAAATACATTCATCCCCATTCGGACGTATTCCAGTGGATCTTGGGCCATTACAACAAAGCACTGGAGTCTACTGCAGAGTTGAGAAATGAGATTCCTTCGGAGAAGTGAAGGTAAAACAAGGCGAGACCAAATCATGAATACAACAATAAGAACGGACCTCCGTGTAAAACTTGTAAAAACAATCATTGAAGAGAATTAACTGAAATGGTATGGAACCCCACCGGAATGAATGAAAATAGAATAGCCAGAGCAGCCTATAAGACTCTGGTGGAAAGTCGTGGATCAAGAGGAAGGCCAAGGAGAAGATGAGAGGAAGGCAAAAAAGTAGCATTGCCAAGCTGGGAAAAGGATTGGAGAAGGAGAAGAGATTTATGATCCAGGCTCAGCAAGGAAACCCTAACACTGCAACGGTGGTAGGCAGAGGTTGTCGACAAAGTGAAGTAATCTCTTAGCGACACATATAATTAAATTTATCAGAAAAAAAGTAAAGGAAAAATTTAAAACAAATTTATGGTAGAGTTGAAGGAAGGTATACATGTTCAATTTAGTAGTAGGAACGTTTTATAAAAAGAAAAAAAGTTTTACCGATAAAACCTTAAACTTTGTTATTAATCAGTAAAAAACATAATACTTAGTTATTTAGCTTGAAATTATTTCCTAAATTTAAGCGTTTTAAATTTTACGTTTTTAAAAATATAATAAAGTGACCATATATATTATTTTAAATAGGTCAGCAAGATCAACCAGTTCATTGAAGTACTAGCAGAGGAAAATGTCCCTGAAGCAGCAAAGGCAGACATCTCCATCAAAGCAGAGCAAATTACGGATAATCTTAAAAGCACCAAGATGACACAGGATGCTGTCCAAGAAATCATCCAACTGATCAACCAAGCAACAAGGCTTTCACAATCTGCCCCAACGGCTCGGATGAAAAAGGCTGCTAAGGAATTACAAAAGACTGCAAACTCCGTATGTGGTACAGGAAGTAGTAAAGATAGAAAAACAAAATCAAAATAAAACTTGTTGAACAGATGGAAAATAACAGTTTAATAAATAATAGTCGTACAATCCATAATCAACGGATCTAACAATCCATAATCAATGAATCGTAAAATCCATAATGAACCGGTGATATAATAAATGGGACTTTTGTTATTTTAATAGTATCGATGATTTGTCGGCTGCAATCTCTTAGCTTTAGCTCAGTTAAGATGCAATTCAATAATTTTATAATAGCCCAACATTTCCAGAAAATAGTTTCTATTCATAGTTGAGCGGTAAGTGAAAGTTGTGTGTTGCGCGCACCTCATTTTTTTTTTTAGATATAAAAAATTATATTTGGGCTAGTATGCTTATTATAATGAAAAGAAATAAAAGCTTTTGCAAAAATTTAATGTAGTCATTTATGTTGAAGACACGAGTACTTTTAGGTGACATTATATGAAATTACATAGTTGTTTCGCAAAACTTGAAAAGAATCTTAAGTATTTCTCTAATAAACCTCAACGTAATTAATATGCTCTTAAAGCTAATTAAATGAGGTTTTTCAGTTTCATTGAAGTTTTTCAATAAGTGGGCTATCTGTAGTATATTTGGAGATTGATTAAAAAAAGAAAACGCTACAAATTATTACACAATGGTTCATTATTTCCAAACAATTATATATCAAAAGTAACATTACTTTCCTTTTAACATAAAGGAAAATAAATAAAATATGATATTATTGTCCTAAATATTTGTTTTTCATCATCAGTAATTTGCTAAGAAGAATTGATGTAACACTTTCCAAAAACCTAAAAGAAGGATACCAGCTTTGAAGTAGAACGCATAAAAAATATTTAGAACTCCATATATTTCCTCCATATTGTCCGACTTAAACGATTGCTTTTTGTTTTTTATTTAATTTTGTAAACTCTTAATATCCGTAAACAACATCAAAAATATAGAGTGTACATTTTGAGTTATTCGGAAATCTATTTTAACTACCCCTTGTATCAGTTAATTACGACCCATCTATTGCATCCCAAACCCTTCAATCCCACATCTTAAACCTTGAAGAATGGTGTCAGAAATGGAGAATTAAAATAAATTCCAATAAATCCCATCAAATTACCTTCACCCTTCGTCGTAAACCAATGACTTCCTGTCCTTCAGTATCCTTTAACAACATCTCACTTATTCCTGTTGAACAAATCCGTTACCTAGGACTCCATCTGGACAAACGTCTAACTTGGAATCCTCATACCAGACTGAAACGACAAGAAACAGCTCGACGTTTCCGACTCCTTCAACACTTACTAGACAAACGCTCTAACCTTCAAATTAACTATAAAAGACTAATTTACATGACTATAATAAGGCCTATTTGGACTTACGGAGGTGAGCTATGGGGCTCCACCAAACCTTCCAATTCCTCTCGCATCCAATCCTTACAATCCAAAATCCTTCGTAAAATCCTCAATGCTCCTTACTTTGTTAAAAATAAAATCATCCATAATGACCTTAATGTTCCTTATGTATCAGATTTGGCCCAATCCAGATATCTGTCTTTCCATAATAAACTTCATAACCACCCCAACCCTCTTGTTTCTAACCTTGCTTCCTATTCAATTCCTGATAATCCTCCGAGGCGTCTGAAAAGAAGATGGCCACGTGATCTCCTAATATAGACATATTATTAGAGTGCTACCAATGGGTAGTTTCTCAACATGTGTTTCATGTATTTATATCCACGTGAGAATTTACCAGATGTTTTTTTTGTATACAGTTGTAAATATCATATAAATTAATTTTAAAAAAACTACCCCTTGTAACTTTTTTCCCAGCTTCTTTTCGTTGAAGTATTTTATAAAAATAAATTTAACAACAGAAGACTTTGGGTAAGTTTCATAGGTTTTTCAGCCGCCATCTTGAAAGGAAAGGGCGGATAGTAATGTCGAGGCAAGAGGATCATACTCGGGTGACCTCTGACTTTTGATTCCAAATTTGAAAAAAAATAGGTCCAGTAATCTGGGATAAAATGCGCGGTAGGTAGACGAACAAAATTTAGGGGTCTAGCGGGCTAACGCGTGTACATTGCACCGCGCGATGCCCAGCAACCTGATAACTGAAGTTTCGAGGAAACATTAGTAACGAGTTTGAGTTCCGGTGCCGGGGAGAGCTTTTAACTCTGGCATTGAACCCTGCCCTCACCCCCTGGTCCGGGAGAACCCCCGTATGGTTTAAATGCGAGGAAGTAGAGATAAAATAAAATAAAAATAAAAATTTGATAGTTAAGTTAAGAGAAAAAAGTTAGTTGATATAATTCATGTGTAAAAAATAAAATATGTGTATCTGATACTCAAAGGTTCAAAAATGTATTACTACAGTTCTTAGATATGAAGATTGATAACTTTTATTCTATCAGGATTATCTCCAATAAACAAATTATTGTGGTATGGATGCTTATTTTTATTCATAATCAAAAAGTGAATGTTAATATCACATTTTATTCAATGAAACAACGACTTAATTTTTCAGTAAACTTGTAAAATTTTTAATACAATTCCGTAAAGATTTCATCGATAAACTTATTACAACAGCCAGTTAATAATTAAAAAAAAAATTAGTTATGATTATTTCAAGGTAAAAAAATTTGTCCAACATGTGATGGCAAGCGACACCCACCCAAATTAGTTATTACATTTACCGAAGACCCAAAGTAGATCAAGATGTGTTGTAATATTTTTAATATACGTCTTAAAGAAGGACACGATGAAGTTCCTTCCTTTGTAGAATTAATACGATTCCTCACCTTGTACCTCGATTTTGAAACAACCAAGACTATAGAGAAGTGGGGAAACAAGCACATCCTCAAACCGGACGAAGACACCAGAGCTTTCTTCGTCTTTGTGAAGAGCGAAATCAATAAAACATTGAGGAAAGAAAGGGAAGATGTGACGATAGTCATCGAGGAATTGATTACTGATTACCAACTTCAGATGCAAAACTATGCAAGGGTTTGTAACATTATGTTTCTATGAGAAAAGTGTTATCATTACTTGGTTTATGTGCGATGGGCTTTTGTATGGGCACTATAGCATTACATTGATTGAGCAAATTCATTAGAATTTTTGAAATTACTAATTTAAAAAAAAAATCAAATAATTCGGTAGGTATGGTTTTTACTTTCTTATGCTTTATTTTAGAACTTTTCTTTCTTATCTTTTATATATAATATAAAAATTATTAAGAGTTGAAAGAGCCTTCAGCTATTTCATAAAATTTAATGTCAATTTAAATAATTCCTAAACAAATGGCTATTGCCATAAGGACAACAACTTTTTCAGATGATTATGCTATAAAACCAAAATTATTAAAACTGCTGTATTTTTGTCATATGTATTACCATGTGTTTACAAAAAGGCATGTGGTGTTAACTGACAGCGCCCAATCCTGAGACGGCACAGTACTACCTCTTCTCTCCTTGATCTTGTGGAGCTAGCACAATCAGATTTCACTTTTGTCATTTTACACACCACTGCCCTTTCATTCTTTGTTTGCTGAATCCAGTCCTGTCTTTCAATCACACAACACTACCGCTTCTTCTCCACTTCTTGCCAAAGGAACTGCATGGTCAGTTTTTTCGTTTCCCGAAATGTGCTGTAATATACTGATATTCCTTTACTTTCTATCTCCTATCTATTTATTTATTATTTCTCTAATTATAGAATGCCTTGGGTATGGGTTGTCGATGGCAGCTAAAATACTTCAGAAGTCTGTTGCAAATCTTTCGCCTCTCTGCTGAATATAGAGCATTCTCTTGGTAGTTTAAATAGGAACTGTTTCTCCTTACTCGTTGGAGAACAGCCTACGCTATCTTCTATCTTGAAGACATCCGTGTATATGAAATCGAAGTTTTTATATTGTTCTGCTAGTTTTAAAAAATAATTTGTGAATATGTCCCTGCAATTTTGGTCATGGATCTATTAACTGTGGGTGTTCAATATTGGGGGGCCCGGTACATTCCATATGACCGGGAGCCCTTTTCTTGAGATATACAAAAATAAAGAAATTTTCTGTGGAGGAATACTTGTGAATATATAAATGGCTTACGAATAGTTTGATGAGGAGGCCGGTCTCGCGCCTTCTCGCTCTCTCTCTTTCTCTCGTTCGTCTTAGGTCCAGGAAATAGCCGAAGGGCTGTGATTCTGGAGGCCTGGTCAGGAAGTAGCTGTAAGCTGTCTTCTTACTCCCTTCGCTCGCTAGCATCTGTCCTTTGGCCGTAGATAAGGCCGTCTTAGGGAGGGGGTAGTGAACAAGTTGAGACCGGGGTCCCGCGTGTTGTTTATATAACGATAATAGTCATATACAAAAATATGGATGTAAATCCAACAGTGAGTCTGTTGTTTTTTTTACAACGTGGTAATTTTAATTCTGATATTTGTCTGAATAAGAAGGAAGCCTTCGAAATTGTTGGCTCAATATTGGGATTTGGTGAAGAATTAACGATGATATTACTTGTCGATCGATAACACCATCGATAAATAATATAAACTCCTCCTCTCTCGCTCATAGAGGCCTCAAGTCGACGAAATGAGACATGTATTCAATGATAGTACTACAATTAACGTAAGGTTTTGTGGATATGAACCCAATGCCTTGAGTTATCTCGAAAATAGTACGTTTTCGGGCTTAAAACGCAGGATCCGATAGTTTCGGAGGAGTTATTAACTCTAGATCCGATATTATCTCCACATATCCCCATCCCCGCATGTATTATTACAGTAAGGCTCGAAATCGGTTTAGTACTAATTATAAGCTGCTTTCCTTAAATACCATGAATGGGGTACCGCTGACTTTAGAATTTCACGGGGGATTAGCGAATCGTATTCTCCACTTTTTTTTTCTTTCTAAAATAAATAAAGCCGATACAAACATTTGGCTAGGCTTCAATACTGGAACGGTGGTAGGTCTGTAGATCGATGCTGGACAAATTGGACCTTGAAGACTTGGATGCTTACAGCAAGACCCGGATAGTTCCTCCGGATCCTGCGCTTTTAAGCCCTAAAACGTACTATTTTCGAGATAACGCAAGGTATAGGGTTCGCATCCACACAACCTTACGTTAATTGTAGTACTGTCATTGAATACATGTCTCAATTTGTCGACTTGAGGTATCTATGATCGAGAGAGGAGGAGTTTATATTATTTATCGATGTTGTTTTTGATCGGCAAGTAATATCATCGCTAATTCTTCACCAAATCTCAAGAATGAGCCACCACTTTAAAAGGCTTCCTTCTCCTTCAGGTGGGCAAAATAGTCCAATCACCCCAAAAATTCAGGCAAACAAGTTGTTAATGAAAACAAACTTTATTTGTAAATAACTAAATAATTACTCACGTTTCCCTTGGTAATGATCATGAGTATATAAAAACTTACTTAATTCTCAACAAAAGGAAAAAAAAAATCATCGAAATCGATTAGAAATTTTTTACCCTGAGTCCGAATAACCAAGTCCCGAAAAATGGTCTGTGTGTATGTTAGCAGTCTAGCTCAAAAACGAAAAGTCGTACGAAACTGATATTACGTATTTAAGATAGCTACATGCCTTAGATGCGTCAGCAACTTTTTCCTTAAAATCATACATAACATATAACATCAGAAAAATTATATAATGTTTCCGAATGCATTTTTTCTTGTTAATAATGATAAATTTCTGGTTTAAAGAGGTTAACCATTCACGTTTGGAGATTTCATAGATTATTTTTAAAAATTTATAAAATCATGAATATATATATTATCATATATTGTTTTATTATTTTTTAAAAGCATTCATCTTCCGACGACTCACACGACGCAATCAGAATCGATGCCGGAATGAAATTGATAGAGGGTCTTGAAGGAATGATACCAGAACCGAAAAGAAGCAACTTCAAACATAAGACACTGCATGTGACGAAGGACTGCTTAGAAGACTATGTAAATGACGTCAGAGAGGAACTAGATGGTTACATATACGATAGGGAGTATGAGATTCAGCAGCGCTTAACAGTTCTATTAGCCAATTTTAAAAATGACTTGTTTGCTTTAAGCAGACAGCTGAGAGTGGTAAATATTTTCCTTTTCGGCAAGAATATGTAGAATAAGAATTTTTTTTTTCTATAATTATGTAGCACCATAATTGTTACTTCGCCTTTTAAAATTACTATAAAACATCCGAAATTTTGTATGTATTACAGAGAGAAAACACTTTATTGTCATAAAATGATATTGCCCAACTATATTGTGTTGCTACTAGCTCAGCATACTAATAAAGCTTTGACGATAATATTTTAATACTTACATATATAAAATAATATCCCAATATAAATAGACATAGGTATTTTTACTGTATTTCTATTATTTATTTAATTTTTGTTTGCATTCCATTTCTTGTTTCATATTTGTTTACTTCCCTGTCTTATGAATCTTCTTCTATTGTTTTTATTTCTAATCTAAAGCGTTCTCTCTACCTAAATAATCAACTAGTATGCTTAAATATATAAAATTGCATACAACATTGACAATAAAAAAATAATATAAGATAATATAATATTGCACACCCAACTGATATCAAATAAAATTAACAAAAATAAACATATTGCTACTGTTAATGCAAAAGGTTGTATGTAAAAGTTGAGTTTTTTCATAGAAGAGCGGAAATACATATTATTTCTTTAAGATTTATTTATATATATTTTAATTCTCTCTGCTATTTTCCTATTTAGCGGACTGCTTATATCAAACTACAAAACGTCACCGTTAGCACAAAAAGAATAAACATATAAAATTGTTAAATACAAAACGAACTGTTTGTGCTAACAGTAATGATTTGCAATAAATATTTTTAAAAAGTATATTAAAGTTTGAAAAAACGACTTTCTCGTTGATATGGAGTAATGAAAAGGCCTAAACTAAATAATATTGTTATTAGGTGCGGTGTTGATCAGTGTGTAAGGTACTTTACTCTCATCGCCCAGATTTTTGGCAGATAGTTTCATTTATTTAAAGAAAAATTAAGGCAAAATAGTTTCTAATACATAAAATAATTTGTTACTATATGAAAATAATCGGAATGTCCAGTATACTTTTGCATTTAACTCTTCTAATTTTTCATTCGTGCTTAGTTAGGATTCTCCTATATAAAAAAATACAGTAATATCTCTATAGTATTAAGCTAATAGGTAACTGCAAGGCTCTTGCGAGACTCTTGCGCAAGACTAAGACTGAGTGAGCAATTCCAAGACTCGCTTTTGGGCAACACTATTGGCAGATAATTATTTTTATGCTATATCAGGCATAGAACGACTCCAGGATCGGGAGACCAACCTTGAGGTACATTCAGCCTTTAAAAATTAGTTACGTAATTGAAGCAATAACCTGGTAGTTTAACATGGTTCTTCCCAAACCACCTTCTTCAAAAGCCGCTCAGCTTTAAACAGTATAAACCACAGAGTTCAGTTTGTGTTTCTTAATGAAGTATTTAGGGAGTTTTAATAGAACTGTTTTATTTTATTTTTTTATCTATATTTAACATTACGTTATAACTTTAATGATGTTATAATTATGATATATTTGTAAAATAAACTGAATAATCCACCTGTATATACTTTCTTATAAACAGGTTAGCAAAATCGATCTCTTAATGGAAGAGCTACAAAATGAAAATATTTCCGTAGAAGAGAAGGCAAACATTTATAACATTGCAGTACCTATTAAAAACAGTCTCAAGAAAGAAATGTTCACGTCGGCTATGGAAGAAAACATTTCTGAACTGATCATAACTTTATTCATGCTAGCGGAAAGGGTAAAATCGAGAAAAATCAGAAAAAGAGCAAAGGAATTAAAAATGACCGTAAACTACCTTTTTGAAGAGTACAGCAAACATCATTGAGATTAAAATTTTATTTACTATTAAATAATTGTTGGTTGTTACTATTTATATTTAATATAAATATCTAATGATCCATTTTGTTTTATAAATATTAAGATTTTTGGGCTTTGTGCCGATTTTTAAGTTGGAATCCTATAAAAACACAACTTATACAAATGTGATAAAAATATGTAATATTTATATTTACACATCATATAAATAATAAAACAAAAAAAAAAACGGTTGTTTTATGTAGGATAGGGCATTGGAAGTTAACGCAGGGTCTAATGTTGCTAATTAAAGACATTTTTTTTCTTAATGATATTTACAACTGTATTAAAAAAATACATTCAGTAAATTTGAACATATAAAGACGTGAAAACACTTGTTGAGTAGGTAGCACTCTAATGATATGTCTGTATTAGGAGATCACGGGGCCATCGTCTTTTCAGACGCCTCGGAGGGTTATCAGGAATTGAAGTGGAAGCAAAATTAGAAACGAGAGGATTGGGGTGATTTTGAAGTTTATTATGGAAGGATAGGTATCTGGATTGGGCCAGATCTGAAACATAAGGAACCTTAAGGTCATTATAGATGGTTCTATTTGTAACAAAGTAGGGAGCATTGATGATTTTACGAAGGATTTTGGATTGGATATGAGAAGAATTCGATGGTTTGGTGGAGCCCCATAGCTCAACTCCGTAACTCCAAACAGGCCTTATTATAGCCATGTATATAAATCTTTTGTAATTAATTGGAAGTTTAGAGAGTTTGTCTTGTAAGTACTGAAGTAATCGGAAACGTCGAGCGGTTTCTTGTCGTTTCAGTATGGTATGAGAATTTCAAGTTAGACGTTTTTCCAGGTGGAGTCCTAGGTAGCGGATTTGTTCAACAGGGAATCAAAGACGTAGAATTGAATAGTGGGACCTGTTTCTCATAGAAAGAGATTATCTAGGGTCTCGAAAAAAAACTTAAAATTCTGGAAACTATTCTACAAAGCCGACGTTTCGAACAAACTATACAGATCTTCATCAGAGCTATGGCCGGTATATGTACAGAGAAAAAAACTGCTTACTCATTGGAACGATGACTGTTTGTAAATAACTAAGGAATAAGAAAACGTGTTATTTAGTTTTTTTTTTCTTGATTCTAAATACTACTAAGTCTGTTCTTATAAAGTTCTAGTTCGACAAATCGCACTGATGCATTAGTGAAATGCGTCAAAATGCTCGGAGAAGTTGTACTAGAGGCTTTTATTTTATGTTTCCATTAAATGGTACCAATTAATGTATTTGGTGAAATACATTAGTTGAAGGCAGATATTAATTGAAACGATTTATATATAGTTCAAAATACAGCGCTGTAGATTGTAAACAGCTTAGCGGGCTTGTGTTGTCTCCATCATCGAGTCACTTACAAATATTTATCCGTAAAACATTTAGCGTGGTTCAATTCTAATCGCAAATGCTATGGCAGCTCTCCACCATCAGCAGTACTCCGTGGCACAGGCCCCTTTTTATCAAATTATTAACATCCGCCAGTAGTTAGGCCACCTTTTCTATGGATTTTGTGATCAAGTTATCTTACGATCCAAGTTGAAAGGAAATGAGTATTTATGAGTTTATAGTACCTAATCAAAAAATATATAAAGTTTGCCGACCTCCAGATAGAAAACGCTTAATTCTGAATATTTTTGTAAATAAAATATTTGTAGGTTACGATGAGATGAAACTATTTGCGGCGGATGATAATAATTTGATAAAAAGGGGTGTATGTCTCGTGCTATAGACCATTATAAATATTATTTCTATATTCCTGAAACCTCATTTCAATCAATCACTCTTTTGATACAAAATAAGACTTGAGATCCCCTTTGAGAATCAGCTCTTTGGGCGTGAACTTTAGCAGTTATATGAAACTCGATAAAACTCGATTAAAAAGTTTACTCACGTAAATGTCTCTCACCACTACACTGAGTTAAGGTGGCTCTTCCCCTCCTTTAGAAGACAATATTTCCTCGGTACGTTCATCTATCAAATCATCAACAACAATCGTCCTTCTTACGCCTACAACCTTCTCCAATTCAAGTCCTCAGTCCATTCCCTTTCAACAAGATCTCGACCTTCTGACCTCTACATCCCTTCTCACAGATCTGCCTCATTTCAGAATTCCTTTATAGCCCGCGCTGTCAATTTCTGGAATTCTCTACCTATCAAAATTCGACATTCCCCCTCCATATCCACATTCAAATCCCTCCTATTCCAATTCCTATCACAAAAACAGTCAGATACTTGCTAAACTTTCGATATAATGCATTTCTAGTCATCATCAAACGATAGTACTATTCTATACTGTGAACTTCACTAGGGATATTACAATATCTTCCTGCTCTTAATGCCACTGACCGCATCTATTGTTTGTTTTTTTTATTGTTTTTTATTCGTATATAATTAAATCTGTACCTATAGCTAGCATTTGACAATGATGAGTCCACATATTAATCATTATTTAAATACACTGATATTTTATATTGTCAGGTTTGTCTTTACTTTTTTAGCAGAAACACACCTCATTTTAAAGACGAACTCAATGTATTTTTTATTATTTTATTTTTCAAAACAGTATAATTATAATTTTTCCTACTGTACATAGTCTTAAGTGTTTTGTATATAGCTTTTTTTTTCTTTTTTTTTTGTATATAGCTTGTTTGACTAATATTTTCTTTACTTTCTCTTTTTTATTATTGTTTTATTTTGGCCAGATGTAGTATATTAATTATGTTCTATTTTGTTATTCTAAAGGGACTTTGTCCCAGAATAAAGTTATTTTCTATTCTATTTAAACTATTTATTTAAATAATGATCATTTTATTTAAAGCGTATTCTTTTGAACTATCGTCATTATCTATTGGATTGGGAAGGATCTTAACTATTGCACCCGGATGCAATCGGGCTCAAGCAGAATTTTAGGTTTGTCATTGAAATTTAACCTTTTTACTGTAATAATATGACAACATTCCGAACAGGCTTTACAGAAATAATGCTAAACAAATTTCCAGATCAGCCATGGCTATATTTTTCTCAATGCACATATGGGTGATTCTCAGATTATGGGCAATTTTCATGATAAAATTTTAATAATTTTGGCAGAATTTAAATGCATTATTCTAAATACCTATTTTTCTAATCATTCGGGGAATTACTCGGGGGAGTTTTCGACTTGGTAATGACATTTTCACGTATTTTATTCGACTAACTAGTATTAAAATTTAATTTTTTTCCAACTGTCTTGATACAAACCACAGTCAAACGTACGGTGGTAATGACAAAAATAAAGGTACGCGCGAACCGTACAAAAAACGGATGCGTAGAGGGAGGCTCCCTAACTGGTCGGTCTATCCGCTGGTGGCTGTCATTTAATTACATGGATACTACTACACTATGAAGAAATTTTCTCACTGTTCCCTCTTTTCAACGCTTAAATATCTGATGTTATGTTTTTTACTTGAAAATGACATCAAAGTGATGGGACAAAGTTCGAAAATACATAAACATACTTCACTGATAACAAAAGTTAAAAAATATATATAATTCGAAATGCTTTAATTATTCTTTAGGAGTACAAATAAATTTCACTGCCATTTTAATTAGGTTTCGAAAGAAAAATAATATATCTGGCGTGTCCACCCACACGACTTTCCTACCTATTTCAGAAATGTTTTTATGTCTTTACATTTGTTCATGAAGAAACAAAAATAATTGAACTAGATACATTTTCTTGAAAATTGATCAAACATAAGATTTGAGTACGATTTATTTGATAAACTAAAGCAATGTAAACCGGCTTAAGGTAGATCAGTGTACAGATTTCAATACTTCTTAATATTGATGATCAAAGACTTTTTGCCATAGCTTAGTATTGTCAAACAATAATTTCTGTTAAAAGTAGAGGAAATAGTGAAGATTGTGTGATGCGGGCAACTGATTTTCTTAGTTTCACTTAGTCATCTTTATTCTCTCATTCACCCCTTTCTGACACCAGGATATGAAACCGTAATCTTACATTGGAAATTGAATAGCTGTAACTTCGTTAATAGTGGAGCAAAATGAACGATTTGTATATGGCTTTGTAGGGAATTTCATCACCTTTCAAACGACAGGCCAATGGCTAAAAATGTGTTTTTCGGACCCAGGGGGCTCTGAAACGTATAGATCCGTCGAAAGCCGCATGTCGGAAATTTGACCCGATTGCAATGCTTTCCTTACCTAGTATAGGAAGGAAAGTTTTTTTTTTCCTATGCCATAGTCATTGGTCTATCCGACATCTTGCTGCCCAATATAATTTTGATTTTTGTATGTAATCATTTGCATATGTTTGATTATTTATATCCGTCAAAGCAGGACATTCGTTTAGGTGGTCTGCATCCATTTCCGCTTGTTCACATAATTTACATCTAGGATCCTCAGCCAGCGGTATTCCAGGAAATGAGGAAGCGGATAGTCTCGCCAGGAGGGGAGCAGAATTGCCACAAACAGTTCATCCAAAATCCTACGATTCAATTCGGCGAATGGTGAGGATGATAGTGAAGGAGGAAACAAAAAATATGCACAAAGACAAGGTGGAAGGAAGGGAAACGTTATGGATGTTTGATGGAAAACCCAATCCCAGCAGACCTACCAAGAAGATATGCAGTAGCCTGCTTCTGCCTGGCCACTGGTCACGACTATCTACAAAGTCATCTGCACAAGATAGGTAGGAAAGTAAAAATGTTTACTAGAAAACTGAGAGTGAGACAATATGTGGTAATGACATTTTAGTAGCTAAAGTAATTTTAAAATCGCTTTATTCTTTAATCTGTTAATTTTTAATATATCATTATGAAGAAGTACTTCTCCACCGTATAGCAGTGGAGGAAAATATCAAGTTAGACTTAACTAATCACGTAAAAGTTGTAATGGACTAAAACTTGCCCCTAAAATGTGAATCACCCATATACCCCTTTACCTCCGGGGTCCTCATTTCAAGTACTTTATTCTCTTAATTTTCG